GGAGAATGCAGCCAGAAGTGAGAGTGGAATTACAAGGGCCAGAAATGCAAGATACCCCTGAGCTCATTTTTCTCTTTTGAGCTGTGAACAGTCACTGGGATAATTTCACCACCTGGCTGAAACAGCCACTCATTATTTCACATTGTTCAGCTGCTGGCACCGGCCTGGCTCTGTTTGCTTTTGTACAATGGAGACAGGAAATTTTTCTCCCATTAAACCACTGTCTTTAAAATTATATAAACTCTTCTTAATTACTCCTTTTATTCCGTGCTAGAGCTCCAAACACCTGGTGTGCTCCACTCAATCCATTTAAAGGAACAAATCAGACGAGTCAAAGGAGAAATATTTCATTTCCAGTACCAAGCACTTGTGTCAGGATGAAAAATCCTGAACTTTAGGGTTGGCTGGTAGCTGCTGTTGGAAACAGTGCTCTCTCTACATTATATTCCACATTTTACTTGTGCAACATTATTTCCTCATCCCCCAAAGGAAAGTAGCAGCAAACAGGGGAAACAATTCAACAAAAGATGAAGAGCCAAAGCAAGAGGAAAGAGACTGCAGGTAGCTCTGAGTTTCCTGAGGAGATGGGGAGAAAGAAAATTCCTTAACTTGGAAACAAATTTCTACTGTTTTCTATGTTACTCTTCAATTTAAAGCATCAATCCAGAGAATTATACTCAGTGTAAAACAATCCAAGTAGTTCCTGGAGAGTGGGTACAACACTGGCTTTAATTACCTCAGTAAAAAGCAAATAGCTGATCCCAGACACACTGAACTTTTTAAGTGCCTTCCAAAACAATCCTCATAATTCCAAATTGCTAAAAGTGGTCTTCAGATCTCAAGAAGAGTTCTGAAATTCCAAATATCCCATTTGCTTATAGGCAAACATAATTTTTTTGTGTGTAATATGTTCTTATTTCTTCGTTTAATTTGCAACTGAAAGAAACGTTTAAGTTAATTTATGCTCTTTTCAAAAAGGTTCCTCTTGTATTTTGGGTCGGGTTGTTTAATAATTTACTCCCATCTATGCAAGAGAAAATAAACAAGGCTATTTTCTGCATACCTGCACTGTATTCCCAAAGGATTCATTCCACTCCTGTAACCTCCACAAACACCTTCCCTCTACTGAGATTTTACAATACATGCAGGAGGTGAAACATGTGTAAAAGGGGAGAGTCAAACCTCAGGTTGTGTCTTGGCTGCAGAATCATCTGTTGCTGTGCAGAGGGTGTGACTGCTCTGGTGTGAGGGTGCAGACAGCATCTATTCTATTCAGATTGCCTCAATTCAGTGTTTGCCCTCATTACAGCACAAGTAAAAAATACATGTGTTACTTCATTTGCTCTAACAGTCAATATTAGAAGACAGTCAAAGATGAAGATGCCTCAGTCTCAACCAATTACAAACAGCACCATATGCTTTGTTCATAATGAAGCCATTTGTACGGCCCATGGAACTGGGAGGGAATTAATCACGAGGTGCCACTGACTCCTGAACTAACACTTGATTAAGTGAGAATCAGTCTCTGCTGTGAACCACTGAGAGCTCTGGTAGAAAGGGAGGATGAATAGATAGTGCATAATGAATTCTAAGGCTGTGAACTGATCTGTGTTGATTAAGAAAGTGAAATCAAGTGAATAAAAGCAGGGACAGAAATAGCACAAGGGCCCAGTGAATCCCAGCTTTGGTCTCTGACCAGCACATTCCACCACAGATGAATTGTTCAGGCTGGGCCTCGTCCCCACAGCCCCAGGGAGGGACAGAACATTCCAGCTGCCTGAGGGGAGGTTTGGGTGGGATATTGGGAAGGAATTTGTCCCTGTGAGGGTGGGGAGGCCCTGGCACAGGTTGCCCAGAGAAGCTGTGGCTGCCCCATCCCTGGAAGTGTCCAAGGCCAGGTTGGAGCAACCTGGGCTGGTGGAAGGTGTCCCTGCCCAGGGCAGGGGGTGGCACTGGATGAGCTTTAAGGTCCCTCCCAACCCAACCCATCCTGGGGTTCTGCACTAACCAGAGGCCAACAGCCAGAGGCCACTGGGGGAGCTGGGCAGGCTGGGATGCAGTGCCATGGCCCAGGAGGGCAGGGAGGACAGGGAAGGAGGGAATCAGAAAGGGAATGAGGCAGGACTGGAAATCCCCAGAGACGGGCAGAGGAAATTTCCACATCCTATGACCAGCTCCAAGTGAGATGTTAATGCTCTGACACTCAGACCCAGCACAAATAATTAAATATCTCAACACCAACAGCAGCTGAATGGAAAGTTACACCAATCACTGAGTGCTGAGCTGCAGCTTCTCCCCAGCAGTGTCCTAAAAATCTCATCATTAAAGGCAGTGATTAAGACAGAAATGTCACCTTACATTTATAAAGCCATTTTCATCCTGAAGCACTTCATTAACTATCTTTCCAAAGATCACTTTGCAATACTGATTTTGCTGTATTTCTCCTCTCTCTACCCAATCACAAAAAAGAGGTAGATTGTACCCTTTTTAGAATCCATCAGATAAAACCTTAAACTGGGGTTTCCATAGAAACACATCGTGGGTCTCTCAGTTTCTCTATCAAACCTGTTCATAAACTTTCAGCTTTACTTAATGCTAGATTTTCAAAAACACCAATTAGCTCTTTCATTTCATTTAAGAGTTGGACTCAATGATCTTACAGGTCTTTTCCAGCCTAAATGATTCTATGATTCTATAAAGAGGCAAGGGAAGAGCAGCAGCTGCCACAGACAGGGGAGCAACAGGGAAAATTGTGTTTTTTGGTCATCTGGTAAAATCTCTGAGTGTCAGTCAAGTCCCATTTGCACTTAAAATCTCCTGTCAAAGGTTGTTATGGAAATTTGAGCCTCACAGAAACCCTGACTATGGAAAAAACCAATGTCATGCAAATGATGAACACAGGGCTGGGACGTTTCAGGAATATTCTGACACAAACGTCTGACTTGTCACAGTCTATCGCCCCTGACCCCCCCCCCCCCCCCGGCTCAGAGTCAATTTTGTTGTGAGTAACAAGTGAAGTGATACAAATGTTTGCCTTTATTTTCTTAACATTTCCTTCAGTTCTTCCCTGAATCCAGCGCAGTTGAATCGCTGCTGCCAGAAATATATTTGCAGTAAAATACATCCTCAGAGCTTTGTTACTTAACATACATCCTCAGAGCTTTGCTACTTAACATACATCCTCAGAGCTTTGTTACTTCTCTCATCAGATTTAGGTTGTATTGTTTACCCTGAAATGCTTTCAGTGTCTTTCACAGTTATTCTGGTTTAAAATATAGACCTGTTAAACACAGAGTGAAACGTGCAGCACTTCAGCATCTTGTTTTTTTTTCAGCACTATAATCCCTTATTCTGCAACTAAATCCTTCAAGCACACCAGTGTTCTGGAGTGCAGTGCTGCTCCTTAATTCCAGGGATGTGGGAGCTACAAGTGCTAAACCCTCCAGGCTCTGTAAGTGTGAGACAAACTCCTAATTTCAGTGACACATTGCAGCAGAATTTCTTCTGAGCCCGAGTTTCTGGAGCAGCAAAGTGACATTGCACTGCTGCTTCCAGGCCCCTCGATGGCTCTGCCTTGTTCTGGCACATTGGCTGGGTCTGTGTGTGTCACCTCAGGCTTTTCTCTGGTTTGTCAAACACAAACTCACTCTTTTGCCAAACCTACAGAAGCAAAGAAATCATTATATTGAAAAATCAAAAAAGAGCCCTGGCTGCCCAGGTGGATCCTGGGTAAAGCAGAAAGGACAAGTAAAGGCTCTGCACACACGACCAGCATAGGAAATGGGAGAAGGGCTTCTCCTACAAGACACTTATCTGGGAGCTCTGGGAAATTGGGAAATTTCAAATTGCTACATTCTTTTTTATTTTTTTTTCCCCTTTTATTTTCTGTTCTCTGACATTTCCTTCTGTCCCCTGACATTTCAGCACAAAGCCAGCAAAGCTGGTTCCTAAATCCCTGTCCCCACAGCTCCCAGCCAAAGGGGGAGAGGTGTGGTGTGGGGAGCAACACATCAGCCCAACCCGGCCCCAGGGCTGTGACAGAGACCTCAGACTGCTAAAAACTCTTGGAAACTCAGTCCTCTGCCTCTCTGAGCCACAAGAAACACTTCAGAAAGCAAGAATTATTTCCAGTGTATTCCCTGTAAGCAAATACCATCAGCAAAGACAGTTTAATTTGACTTTGATTTGTATTTGTGGACCCAAATATCCCCTAACAGAATATAGGGGAGAATTTAAAGGAATCAGCTTTGCAGAATTTCCTAGATTTCTAAAATGCATACAATGCTCAGAGACAGTTTGGTAGTAAAAGTATCTGCTGAAAATTTGACCAGATTTCCTTGATATTTGTCCTAATGAAAGTGTTTCAGGTGAGGAAAAAAAAAAGCAGATTATTTTCCATACTACTTTGTTTCAAAGGTCCAATGCCCCCATGGGGGAGACAGAACTGCTGTGCCCCTGGTTTCTCCTGTTAAATACATGGACAGCAGCCACAAAAACTCAGGCTTCCCTCAGGACAAGCTTTGCTCTGAGTGGAGTTTTAGATGTATTCTCTCAGTGTAAACAACATAAAAATAATGAACCTCCCAGACTCAAAGCTATTTTAAACTATGTGTCTTTTAATGTGGGAGAAATGATTCTGTTTAAAGGAACCTGATTTAAGAACATTCCTATTTTGGGGTTATTATCCACATATCCATGTTTCCACTTCCACAGAAAACAAATAGTCCCAGGGTATAAAAATAGGCAACTAAATGAAATGCAGGCTTTTCTAGCGTGGGAAATGTTTGTTGAACTTGCATTCTGGGTTTGATTACTTTTAAATGTTTAAGGAGAGACTGATTCAAAGCAGTGCTCTTCAGATTAAAGCTAAAATATATGTAAGACCCCCCTCCTGCAAATGTGTAATGCTAAGTGAAAAAGAGAATTAAAAATTCAATGAAGTACTTAAACACACACATAGCAAGAATATAGGAGATGTCCTGACAAAGTTAAGTTCACCCTTAAAAACTCTGAGTGGCAAACAGCAATGGAAACCAATGGCAGAGTCCCTTAAAATAGATTGTAAACTGGGAAAAACCACAATGTGATAAAGGACAGTAACACACCTCCTTCCCAAACTGTCGTGTATAATCCCTGAGGGAAGCTGACAGCACTTTAGGAGTTTAGAAGAGCACGTCCATAACTGAAGTTTCACATAAGATTTAGTGTAATAGACCAGCTCCAAACATAATTGGGAAGCTGAATGTTCCACATCCAGCAACGTTTTAAGGTAAGAATCAAAGACAGCATCAGGAATAGCCTTTGCTATTATTCCATAATCATTAGGAACTACAATTTACTGTGTTTTAGAAGACTGAGGTGACAAAAGTCAATGTACTTGATACATGCTTCAAACAAGGCTGACACCTAATGGCAGCTCCGTGCACTGCTGAGGGTTTGCTGCTTCCCAAAAAGTCACATGATGGTAAACAACACATGGTAAAGAAATATCCTGATTGTAGAGTATTGCCCTCTGTGTCCAAGAATGATACACCTCACACAAATCCTCCCTCTAATTAACTGCCCACCAGACACATTGGAATTCAAGGAAATACTAAATAAACCAGGCCTCACTACAGAGCAGTAATGAGGAGTCACTGTTGCCAGAAAATTAAAAAGGAAATTATAAAGGCAGAATCCAATGGAATTTTTCTCTTCATAAATCCTAGAGATTAATAAATCGATTTGCAAGTCCATTGGGTTCTTCTAGTTTCTTCCTTTAGTTATTGAACCAAAAACTAGGAGAGAAGATGTTCCGATATTACTTTTTAGCAAAGAGGAAAAGGGAAGGGGAAGGTGAAGGGGAAAGGGAAAGGAGAGCTCCCGCTCCGGGAAGGGTTCCAGGAATGCCGTGTGGAAGCGCACCTGGATGGCAGCAGGTGGCAGCAGCGCCCCAGGGCAGAGCAGCGTCCCCAGCACCGCCCTGGGCTCTGTCCAACCACCCTGGCACACGGCCAGGGAGGAAAACCCAGGGAATGCGGGCCCATCTAAAATTAGAGAGACGCTTCCTCTTCTTTAAGCAGAAGGCCAAGATAACTGTGTGCATCCAGTACACATCGTGTGG